ATGCCAACTCTTATGCTCTTGGCTCAAGGTGAGGCAGCACATCATAGGGTTAAGTGCCCAGTGGAGGAAAGCTCCTCASCTTATAGTGGTATAAGGAAGTGGAGAGGGGAAAGGGGCTACAGGGAAGATGTACCCTTCCAGGGCATGCCCCCAGTAACCCAACTCCTCCAGCCACACCCCACCCGCCTATAGTTATCACTCAGTCCATTCAAATAAGGATGATTAGGTCACAACTTGCATAATCCAATCATTTTACGTCTAAATATTGCTGCATTAGCAGGAGCTTTTGGGGGACAGTTCAAATCCAAACCATAACACTTGGCTTCATTGAATGGGTTGATAAGTATTTATTTTTATGTTCCAGAAGAATTTATATAAGAATTTTAATTTTTATTCCTTGACTGTTTTAAACAGTTCATTAGTGAATCCWGTTGGGCTTGGAGTTTTCTTACAGGTTTATTTTTTTTCATAGTTCTGAGAATAAAGTTTTTTTGTTTTGTTTCTTGTTTCAGTTTTAGTGAATTGTGTTCTTCAGGTAATTTTTTAATTCTCTACTGCATTGAAATAAAATTGATCATAATAATCCTGAGAATCTCTTTGTCCATAGAMTGTGTAATCTTTTTACGTCTGTAGACTTTCTAGTTATAACTCTTCTGTTTTCTCTTGATCAGTCTTGTTTAGGGATTACTCATTTTATTAGTCTTTCAAAGAATCAACTTTTGTCTTTCTTTGTTTCCTCTATTATATATCTGCTATTTCATTATTAATTAAAAATTTTCTTTACATTTTCCTTGAATTAGTTTACTATTTTTTCTAGCTTGTTGTCGTGGAAACTTAGTATATTGATTTTTAAATTTGTGTTATTTCCATTGTTAGGCATTTATAGCTATGAATTTTGCTCTAAATAGTGCTTTAGATGTATCCCACACATTTGTATCTGTTCTATTTTCAGTATCATTCAGATAAAAATATTTTCTCATTTGCACTGTGATATCGTATATTTGATATGAGTAATTCAGAATAGTGTTTCTTAAGTTCTAGACATTGGGAACATATCTAGTTGTCTTCTAATACTTGATTTTTTAGTGTGATTCTGTGATTGTTACAAAGTATGTAATTCATAGTTTAAATTCTTTGTATTTGTTGAGAGTTGCATTGTCTAGCATTTAATCTCCTGGTAAATGTTTTATGTGAGCTTGAAAGAATGTGCATTCTCTAGTTGTTGGATTTAATGTTCTATTGGAATTTTTGAAATTGGAAAATTGTTTGTATSTGTATATCATGATTGTTTTTGCTTATTCTACCAGTTACTGAGAAGGGTTTGTTAAAATTGTCAGCTGTGAGTATGGATTTATCTACTTTTCTTTTCTTTCTTTCGAATTTTGCTTTATGTATTTTAAAAACCATTATTTGTTGCAGTACTGGGGTTTGAATCCAGGGCCTCACATATTAGATGAGTGAGGGGCTTCCCAGTCCTTTGAGACAGGGTTCTCACTAAGTTGCCCAAGCTGCCCTCAAACTTGTGATCTTTCTGCCTCAGCCTCCTGAGGGAGTAGCTGGGATTACAGGAATGTGCTACCATGCCTGGGTCTTTTCTTTTAAAAATACTTCTTTTGTCTCTGTCTCTATTTCAATATCTCTCATTTATTTCTGAGTCAACAATTTTGACATGTGAGACATTTTATTTAGTTACTTTTATGTTGTCTTGTACAGTTTTTCTCCTTTTTTCTTTTTATAGTTCAGTATAATTATTTTCTACTCTTTTCCAGTTTACTAACCTCCCTTTAACCATGTCCATTTAACTCCATCTAGTGAGTTAATTTCAGATAATTTTCAGTCTTAGAATGAACATTTGTGGGCTGGGGATGTGGCTCAAGCGGTAGCGCGCTCACCTGGCATGCGTGCAGCCCGGGTTCGATCCTCAGCACCACATACCAACAAAGATGTTGTGTCCGCCGAAAACTAAAAAATAAATATTAAAAACTCTCTCTCTCTCTCTCTCTCTCTCTCTCTCTCTCTCTCTCTCTCTCTCTCTCTCTCTCTCTCTCTCCTCTCTCACTCTCTCTTTAAAAAAAAAAAAGAATGAACATTTGTTTTTAACATTCCAATTCTCTTGTTGAAATTCTTCATCTTTTTATCTCTTTTTACTGATTTTCATATCTTAAAATCTATTTTTCTCTTTCATTTTATTGAATGTATAAATCATAAATGTTTAAAATTTAACTGAAATTACCAGTTTGTGTATCTCTCCCCTTGCTTTGCCCTGGCAAGTAATTACTTGTAATCCATCTGATCTTGGAGAGGGCTTTCTTCCTATAGAGCAGAGACTAGTTGGTGGCCCGCCCTGAAACTTCACTTATATGATGTATTCTAGAAAATATGATTTTTGCCTTTTCTTCTTGTTGGACTGGTGTGATTCTGTTTATAGCTTAGTACATCATAATAGAAGCTGCATTATAAGTAATACAAGTAACAATAAGTATTGGTGAAGATGTGGGGAGAAAGGTATTGTCATACATTGTTGGTGGGACTGCAAATTGGTGTAACCACTATGGAAAGCAGTATGGAGATTCCTTAGAAAGCTTGGATGCAGTTTTCCCACTCCTCTGTCTACACCAAAGGACCTAAAATGAGCGTACTACAGTGACACAGTCACATCCATGTTTACAGTTAAAACTCACAATAGCCAAGCTATGGAAACAAGCTCGGTGTCCTTCAACAGATGAATGGATAAAGAAAATGTGGTATATAGTAACATGGGATATTACTCATCCATAAAGAAGAATGAAATTATGGCATTTGCCAGGAGATGAATGAAACTAGAAAATATCATGCTAAGTGAAATAAACCAATCCCAGAAACCAAAGGCCAAAAGTTCTCTCTGATTTGTGGATGCTAACCCCAAACAAGGGAGGCCGAGGAGGGGAATAATAGAAATCCTTGGGACTAGACAAAGGGAAATGAAAGAAGGGAGAGTGGAATAGAAAAGGCTGTAGAATGAATTGGATATAACTTTCCTAGTCTTGTATTTGTATACATGACCAGGGTAACTCCGCATCATGTACAACCACAGAATGGAACCTAAATAGAATAAGTTATACTGTATGTATGAATATTCTGCCAAATATTAAAAAAAATAGACCCTGCAAATGCACRATAGCCATTTTAACATCCCTTTCTGGTAAGGCTCAAATCTGAATTAATTGTGTATCTCTCTGTTTTGCTTTTGTTTCCCCAAACCGCCCCCCCTACCTTTTTTGTTAAAGCATGACTCATAATGTTTACTTGATATAAGAAGAGTCTGGGGAATGTTTTTTCCTCTAAAGAGAGCTAATTTTTCCTCTAGAACTTCTGATCTTGCAAGGCTTAGTTTTAGACTTGTTGGAGTTTTCTTTTCTTTTCTTTTTTTWWAATTTTATTTGTCCTTCCTCCTAAGATACTGCTTTTGGAGAGTTTGAGTTGAGGGCTCAGGGTTTTTAGTGCTCCTCTATCTTGGCAGGGCTTGTCAACTTCTGTCTTCTCAATGTTGCTGGACTGTTGTGTCTACTAGACTTTTTATTTAGTTTCTTATGGTTTTCTTGGTGTCTTTGACTACATACTTGTAAACTTGGGAAGCTGTTAATGATTTAAGAGGTTCTTTCTCTATAAGTCTTTTTTTACACCAACTCCCCATCTGGTTTGATTATTCCTATGTATAATCTATACCTCCTCAGCCTGCTGAGATTATTTTATTATGCTTGGCTGTCTTTTCTATCATTGATTCAGAAATTTCTTTTTATATAAAATAATGATTAAATGTGAAATTTACTTCATTGGGCTTTCCTCCTTTCAAAGATTATAATCTTTGGGCGCCCAGCATCTCGGGAGGCGAGGCAGGAGGATTTCAAGTTCAAAGCCAGCCTCAGCAACTTAGTGAGGCACTTAGCAACTCAGTGAGACCCTGTCTCTAAATAAAATATATAAAAAAAAAAAGACTGGAGATGTGGCTCAGTGGTTGAGTGCACTTCTGGGTTTAATCCTTAGTACCAAAAAAAAAAAAATTAAAAAAGGGTACAGGGGCAAGTGATGGGGTCCATACTTGTAATCCTAGTGGCTATGGAGACTGAGGCAGAAGGGTCGTGCCTTCAGTGCCAGCCTCAGCACCTCAGTGAGGCCCTGTCTCTAAATAAAATATGAAAAAGGGTTGGGGATATGGCTCAGTGGTTAAGTACCCCTGGGTTCAATCCTTAGTACCAAAACAAAACAAAACAAAACAAAAAAAAAAAACCAAAAAAGATTATAATCTTGGGAATCTCACTTGGATCGATTGCTTTCCTGTACCTTTGTACAAATAGTTTTATGTGTTGTCCAGCACACAGAATTGTTCTCATTGAGAGTGCTGGTTTAATGCTGTCTGCTCTATAGATTGGTACTGGAAATACCTTATTTCTTCTTCCTCTTGCAGTTTTACTAAGCTTAGCACAGCTCTGTAGGTATTGATGCCAAGTAAATAATAGCTGTTGGAAATTTTTTCTTGCTTTATATTGTGTTTAATAGTTAAAAATTATTTCATATATTTAATTACCATGTATCAAAGAAGTTAAATAGCTCTAAGCCTTATTTTTATCTCCTGGAGTAAATTCAGGTGTTTGGTACATCATAAGAGATCTCTGAAAGCTGTAGGAATGTAGGGTTGGTGCTAACCACTTTAAATTGCTGCTTCTCTTCCTCTTCTTCCTCCTCTTCTTCCTCCTCCTCCCCCTCCTTTTTCTTCTTCTCTTCCTCTGTTCTTTTTAGTTATACATGACAGTAGAATCTATTTTGACATATTTATATAAACATGGAATATATCTTATTCTAATTAGGATCTCAGTCTTGTGGATATACATGATGTTGAGGTTTTAAGTTCTTTTAAGTAAGCCTAAAATCAAACGCAATTTTTCTCCTCTTTGAATTGTGTTTATTGGAAAGATTTCATAGAAATGAAAATTCTTATCAGCATCTCTCGTTTTAATCTCTAGGAAGATGAAGTCCTCAGTACATTCTGAAGAGGATGATTTTGTTCCAGAACTGCATAGAAATGTTCACCCTCGAGAGCGACCTGATTGGGAAGAAACACTTAGTGCAATGGTAAATCAGTTTTATACATATGTACACTGTACTTATACAAGTAAAAGGAAGTGGGGAAGCATACTCACAGAAGAAAGTGCAATTTTTTTTTGCTTGTTTATTCAGGAAATACTTTTTGAACAAATACTTGAATCAAATAAAAGGAACTGGGGAAGTATACTCACAGAAGAAAGTGCAATTTTGGGGGGCTTGTTTATTTGTTCAGGAAATACATTTTGAACAAATACTTGAATCCAGGCACTGCTCTAGATTCTGGGGAGAATAATAGGGTTATAGAGTGGTAGGATATAGTGTGAAAGAATATTGCTGGTTACATAGGGTGGCCACAGATTGCCTCTATGAGGAAGTAAGATTTGAGCAGAGGCCTGAAGGATGTAATGAAGTAAGTACTGTGTTATTTGGGAWCACATCATTTTAAGCAGTGGAAGAACAAGTTTAAGACTATGACAAAGGATTAAAAAATAAGATGGAAGAAACACAAGTAACACAGTGTAACTGAAATTGAATGCTTCAGGGTAAGAAGAGGAGGAAATGAAGTTGAAGAAATGGTTTAAGTAGGTAGAAAGCAGATCCCGTGGTTTCTTGCAATCCACTGATAAGGACTTCGTTGTGTATGCAGGATTTTAGTCAGTTTTTATGAAACCATAACCAAAATACCTGACAAGAACATCTTAAAGGAGGAAAAGTTTATTTGGGACTCATGCTTTCAGTCACTAGACTGCTGACTCCATTGCTTTGTGCCCAAGTTAAGGCAGCACATTGTGGGGGAAGGGCCTAGGAAAGGAAAGCTGCTCAGTTCCTGTGGGATCAGGAAGCAGAGAGGAAAGAGGCTGTAGGGAAGATGCACCCTTCCAAGGCATGCTGCTAGTGGCCCATTTCCTCTAGTCACATCCCACCTGCCTACAGTTACTCCCAAGTCCATTCAAACTAGGATGGACTGACTAGGTTACAGCTCTTATAGTACAATCATTTGAACTCTGAATATTCCTTCAGTAACACCAAAGCTTTGGGAGGATACCTCATATCAAAAGTGTAACATTGAGTGAGATGGAAGCTACTGAGGATTTTGGGCTGAGGAGTAACATGATCTGGCTTGAAATTTTAAAGGAAATCTTAGTTTGCATTAAGTTCAGGGAGCAAAAGAAGAAGTAAGGAGACTATTTAGAAAAGTTGTTATCATAGGAGAGCAGAGTTGGTAGCTTGAATCAGGATGGTAGTAAATATGGTTAGAGTTGTTTATTAGATTCTGCATATATTTTAATGGATAMAAACGTGAGCAAAGAAATGTGAGATAAATAGATGTCAAGGATGACTTCAGTTTTTTTTTGTTCTTATTAGCCAGAAGAATGGAATGTACATTTGCTAGAAAAGTGGTTTTGTTGAGGATTTTTTGAAAAAGTCAACAGTGTTATTCCACAAGATATGTTTGAGCTCTCTGTTTAATTTCTTAAAACTTTTTGTGATTTAGGTTTATTATTATTAATTTTTTTGTGGGAGAAGACATTTTACATAATTTTGGGTCAAAGTTAGTATCTCTATCATCAAAATTTAATGTAAATGTTCATCTATCATGCTGATCTAAGAGACTTTTTATATTTCAATTTCTTTTCATTATGATAGGTTCTATAAATACTGATATCAGGTCATAAGCATATGATTTTAATTGAGCATTTTCATCACTTGGAAAGTATCTGTAGGGTTCTGTTTGAGTCTYTTCTTTGTATTTACCTTTTTGCATTAATCACTTCCAATTGAAGGTTAAATGAAAACTCCTTGATTGAACTATTAATTGGAGTTTGCAATATTAAAATTTATTTTGTACTTGCATTGTGGTCTGAAAAATCCTACTGTGCCTGTAGTTAAGGTTGAAAAATATAATCACTGTATATTTGTATGGGAATGAAAATTCTCCCTTCTTATTTTAACATTTGATAGCTTGGCAAGTATGTACAGTAGCTTGTGATTACTTATAATTCTAAGAATACTATTTGTCATTCAGATAACTTGATCACAGTATTTCTTATACATAAGCTATGTTTTACCTTGCAATTTTAGATTAAGTTCATTGGGAAATGTAAAATCTGTAGCAAAAACTAGTTACCAATGCACTTTAGTGTTCAGTAGTAGAAGTTAAAAATATGTCAAATTAAGCATTTATCTGCTCCACACAGATTTTTATCAAAATTAGTAATAATGTATCTTAGTAGATTTCAGATCATGTTATACTGAATTCAKGTTTTTTTTCATGTTGTTTGTGAGTGCTCTCTTCTGTAGATGTACCATGTTCATAGGGGACTAACTCTTCAACCACTTCACACTTAGCATTGCCTCCTCACTAACAACTGAACCTACTAAGAGTCAATGAAAACCATTTGTTTTTCTAGTTGGCTATTGATGTTACTACTAATGTCCTCAACCTTTTGAGCAACTACTCTCACCAAAAGATTTATATAGTAAACCAGTTTGTTTTTTCTGGATACATTTATTTGACTACTGTTATAAAACATAATTCACCATTGGTAAATGGCTTTCCTTGCTTGACGATGAAATGTGTTACTTAGAAATTTGCTTAGGTTATAATGTTATCATTTGGTGCTTTTGTGAAGAATTCTGCATGGTGATGTRCTCTGTTTTAGAATTTAAAAAATTTTTCTGAGTGTTGCTTTCCTCTGAGTGGAGAATATTGTGATGAGTGCATAGTTTAGTAATGTTGATGTATCTATCTTCTCTTCTTTTAGCATTCCTGGAATGTTACTTCATAATAAACACAGTGCTTTGTCACCTAATTTGATAACAGGATAATTGATATTACTCTGTTCATTGCAAGTGTGACATTCAAATTCCACTTATCTCTTCTTATTTTTACATGATGTGTTTGTATTATTAATTTTTTAAAATGTGGTACAGCAATATATGTGGAAACTAAAACATTCAGTTATGATTTAATACTGCAGTTTATAGTGTGTCAGGCAGCAGTGTAAATTGATGAGAGTGACACATGGTCTTTTTTGCACCTACTCATCTTTCTTATTATAGCACGAAAGTGGCCATAAATATACATTAAAAAATGAGCGTGACTGTGTTCCAATAAAACTTTATTTATGGGTACTTGATATTTGAGTTTCATGTAATTTTCACCTGCCACAAGATACTCATTCTTCTTTTGATCCTCCCGCCCCAAAACATTTGAAAAAGTAAAACTACTTTTAGCTTAGGGATTTATGATGAGGACAGGTGGTGGGCTGTATTGCCCTAGTTATTTGGTCCCTTCTTTGTCATACATTGTAACTTAAGAGATAGGCTTAAATTGAAAGGCTTCCCTAAACCTTCTAGGGAGAAATTAATTTTATTTTTCTTCTCATACTATGCTGTTCATATTTGTAATATAATGCTTAATTCATTGTATTAGTATAATTAATCATGAATTTGTCCATCTTCCCACTGGCCCTTTGGGGAATGGTAGAGATCATTTTGTATTCATTTTATTTGGTTAAAAAGAGGATATAACCATGTCTTTTATAMAAATGTAGAATGAATACATGCCAAAGATATTTAACTCATTAATTAATGAAGGAATCATTCAGGTGTTAAAACTGGTTCAGAGATCCAGAGCACCTTTTATAGATCTATGTGCTAAAATACATGCAAATGGATGCAAAACTGGTCAGTTCTGCTGAAAATAATTTGCATTTCTTATGTATAGAAATTACGTGGGTTATTTTTTATCAGTTTTCTATAGTTCAACCTCCATCTCCACAGAGTTGTAAATAGTCAAAAGACAAAAAAAATCCCATAACCCTTATTGATTCAGGTAATCCTGAAGCTGCCACCATTCCATGAAAGGATAGTCAGAATATTTTTTGCCCATTTAAATATCTTTCACAATTTTTCTCTATAAATTTTATTACCTCTGCCAAATACACTGAATGAAAAGAAACTTCACATTATTTTTTATTTGGTGGTTTGTTCTCTTGTATTAAAATGCATGCAGTATACATGTGATATTGTTGAATTCCATACTGACTTATCTAAAGCAGCTATGGAAATTACGTTTTATATCAAGTTTTAATGCCTTGTTATCTTCTTATTTTTACATTACAGTTTCTTCATGTGTAAGCTCCTTGAGGAGCTGTCATCCTTCTTTCATTAAAGAAAAGAAGTATCACAATCAATAAAGAATGCATTCTCAGATTGCAGAAAGTGTGCAGGAAAGGATATAAATGAAATTATAAAGCACTATTTTACTAACCTATCTCTAGAAAGTTGTGTTCATTTTAAACACTAAGTAATAGCAGAGAAAGTTTGGGACCATTCTGTGAATAATAACAAGTGAAATATCACTTTGAGAGAGAGATTAATTCTTTTTTTAAAAAWTTTTTTAGTTATACATGAGCACATATCTTTATTTTGTTCTTTTATTAATTATGTGGTGCTGAGGATCAAACCCAGTGCCTCACATATGTGAGGCAAGCGCTCTGTCTCTGAGCTACAACCCCAGCCCAAGAAATTCATTATTAAGAGAAACTCACATAAAATGTTTCCCCAAAACAATTCCGTGTAGCTAATTTTTGAGTGTAGCAAAGTTTACATGGTGGGGCATGCCTGTAATCCCAGCTGTTTAGGAAGTTGAGGCAAGAGGTTCTCCAATTCAAAGCCAGCCTCAGCAACTTATTGAGGCCCTAATTTACTCAATGAGACCCTGTCTCTAAATAAAATACAAAAAAGGGCTGGGGATGTGGCTCAGTGGTAAGTGCCCCTGGATTTATTCCCCAGTACCAAATAAATAAATTAATAAATACATAGGACTTAAACTTCAAATTTTTACTGCTTTGTATGGTGCAGCTAGAATATTAGTTTTTTTTTTAAATATACGTTATTAAAAGAGAGCTAGAAAATTTGAATTTTAAGAGTGTAAGGAATTTTATATACAACGATATTAAAAATTAAAACAGCAATAAAATCCTAAAATAGGGCTCTGCCCTTTTGTGGTTTATGATTAG